TTGAAGAATTGCCTTTAGTATTTCCTATAACCTTGGTCTAGTTTTTGCAAATTCTCTTAATTTTGGTTTATTGTGAAATGGAATCACTGTCATATTTTGCTGGGTACGTAATTACTGGTTGAAATAAAATTAAAGGTGAAGATCATTAAAATAAGTCCACAAGAACAGAAATATAACCTTGAGTCTGTCCCAACTGAATTTAAAAACTATCTCAAGAAGAGATTTAATGCATTCAACATTAATAACCAAAGGCCAGATGAGTTGTGTGATGACATCCATGAAAAAAGCAAAAGATCACTACAAAGACAAGGAAGAAAGAAAATATCAGAATGAATGTCAGAAGAGACTCTGTAACTTTCACTAGAATGAAAAGAAATCAAATAAAGGGAAAGAAGTGCTGAAGTAAGAGATGAACATATGATTTCAAAGGGCAGGCAGAAAGACAGAGCAAAATATTGTAACAAATTGTGCAAAGAACTATAGTTAAAAACCCAAAAGAGAAGAACATGCTTGAAATGTCTAAGCTGAAAAAACTGAATAATAAATTCAAGCCTCTAGTTACAATACTGAATGTTTCTATGGGAAAAAAAAAATCTTAAATGATGTAGAAAGCATCAAAAGAAGATGGAAGAAGTACACAGTCACTCTACCAAAAAGAACTGGTCAACACTGAATCTTCAAGAAGCAAAATATAACGAAGAACCTATAGCACTGAAGAAAGACGTTCAAGTTGTACTAAAGGCATTGACCAAAAATAAGGTCCCAAGAATTAATGGAATGCTACTTGAGGGGGTTTCAAGAAACAGGTGCAGTTCAACAATCTATGCCAAGAAATTTGGAAGACAGTTATCAATCAACTGACTATAAGGGAACCATACTTGCTCCCATTCCAAAAACAGGTGATACAACAGAGTTTCGAAATTATCCAACAACATAATTAACATTATATGCACCTTGAGCTGTGGTGCTGGAGAAGAGTATTAAATATACCATGGACTGCTAAGAGAACATACAGGTTTGTCCTGAAGAGGGTGAAAACAGGCTGCTCCTTGGAGGCAAGGATTCTGAAGCTCCATCTGACATACTTTGGGAGTGTTGCAAGGAGAGACCAGTCCTTGCGGAGGGACATTATTCTTGGGAGGTTGGAGGAACAGCCCAGGAGGAGAAGACCCTTGATGAGATGGATTGATTAAGTGATTGGGGTAATGGGGGTAGGTGTGTAGGAAACAATAGGGTTGGCTCAAGATACAGCAGGGTTTAGAGTTGTTGTACATAGGGTCGCTATGAGTTACAGGCAACTCAACAGCACATAACAACAATGCAAGTAAAATATTGTTGATAAATAAGCAATCTATCAATATTTTCAATATATATGCAGAACAGATTATCTGGGAGGCTGGGCTCTGTGAGGAGAAATGTGGCATCAGGATTGGAGGTGGACTCATCAACAGTCTGTGTTATGCAGATGACACAACCCTGCTTGATGAAACTAAGGAGAACCTGAAGTGCTTGCTGTAGAAGGTCAAGGACTACATCCTTCAATATGGATTGAAGCTCAATATTAAGAAAACAAAGATTCTCACCCACCACTGGACCAACTGGCACCATTGAAATGGATGGTGAAGAGACTGACATTGTGAGCAGCTTTAGTTTGCTTGGCTCTACAATCAACACTCTTGGCACCAGCAGTGAGGAAATTAAAAGACACATTACATTGGTAAAGTCTGCTGTCAGAGACCTCTCCAAAATACTAAAGAGCAATGATGCCAGTCTGGAGACTAAGGTGCACCTGATACAGACCATGGTCTTTGCAATCACTTGCTATGCATCAGAGAGCTGGACAATGAGTAGGGATGATAGAAGAATTGATGCCTTTGCGCTCTGGTGTTGGAGAAGAGTATTGAATATGCCATGGACTGTAAAGAAAAAGAACAGGTTCATCTTGGAGAGGGTTAAACCAAGCTGCCCCTTGGAGGCAAGGATTCTGAAGCTTTGTTTGACCTATTTTGGACATGCTGCAAAGAGGGACTAGTCCTTGGAAAGGAACATTATGCTTGGGAGGATGGAGGGACAGCACAGGAGAGATGTCTTGATTGATGAAATGGATTGATTCAGTGACTGGGGTAAAGGAGGTAAGTGTGTCAGAGACAGTGAAATTGGCACAAGATAGAGCAGGGTTTCAGGCTGTTTTATATAGGGTCGCTATGATGACTTGATGCAGGTGACTTGATGGCACATAACAACAACAACTATTCTAAAACTACTGGAACGGTACACTGGCAAGGAACCGCTAAAAATGCCTGCTTGGCTCAGAACAGGTTGCAGAATTAGGGGTATCATTGCTGATATCAGATGGATCTTGGATGAAGGCAATGAATACTAGAAAGATATTGTCTTGATTATGCAAAGGCATTTGACTGTGGATCATGACAAACTATGGATAGCATTGAGAGTATGGGAATCCCAGAACACTTAAGCGTTCTCATGCAAAACCTATACCTAGACCATGAAGATGATGTTTGAACAGGAAAAGAGAATATGATATGGTTTATGTATATACTAGAACTCTTCTTTGATTAATAAAAACATTTATAAAAGTTAGGCATTGGACATATCCTCCACTACTACTGAATTCTGGAAAGATCCAATAATTATCTAATTCATATAATGTAGAGAATATAGTTCAGATACTCAGACCATGTACTTTACATTTGTAAACATTGCAGTGAAACAATAAATAATATCATTACTTGGGGTTTATTGGTTCTTTGGATGATGTATTAGTTTCCTAGGGCTGAGTTCTTATAATTTGTCCTGCTAAGATTAATAGCCAACTGCTTTTTGTAGATCTCCCAAATAAAACAGGCTTGGAAGCAGGAGTGACATCAACTTCCAAAAAAAAAAAAAAGCTTGCCTCTGGAAACTCTATGAAAATGGAGAAAAGATGAAAGTTTTGTGTTTTGATTCATAGGAGTACTATGGGTCTTTTACAACTCTACAGCACTTAACAACAACAGCAACAACATACGGTTTAAAATCAGGAAAGGGTGCATCCAGGTTGTGCATTAGGCTGGGAAATGTGGAAAGGTCAGAGAAAGCAGAAGATCCTCAATGAGATGGACTGACAGTGAGTGGGATAATGGGCTTCACCATGAGGGAGATCTTCAAGATGGTGCAGGAGAGGGAAAATTTAGATCTATTGTTGCCGAGTTGTAGTCAACTGGATGGTTCATGAGAACAACTACCTTAGGGCCAGATGACAAAGTGTAATTATTTAGATATGAGAGTTCCAATATCATAGCCACTAGCTACATAGCTATCTATGGATACTAAATATAATTTGAACTCAGTGACTCAGCCTTGGTAGCCACATTTCAAGTGCTAATCAATCATATAAGTATCATGAACATATAAGCATAAGGGCATTTCTGTCATTGCAGAAGGTTCTATTGTTGTCATTACATGCCATTGAGTTGCCTGTGACTCACAGTCACCCTATATACAACAGCTCTGAAGCCTGCCCTATCCTGAGCCAGTCTAACTCTGACATAGCTATCCCCATTGCCTTAATTACTGTATTAATCCATCTCATCTGAGGTCTTCCTCTCCTGTTCTGTCTCTCCACCCTTCTGAGCATGATGTCCTTCTCCAAGGATCAGCCCCTCCTGGCCATGTGCCCAAAGTATGTGAGAAGGAGCTTCAAAATCCTAGCCTCCAAGGAGAAACTTGGTTTCACCCTCTCTAAGACAGACCTATTTGTTTTCTTGGTGGCCCATGGTACATTTAAGACCCTTCTCCAGCACCAAAACTCAAAGGCATCAATTCTTCTCTCAACCTTAGTCATTGTCCAGCTCTCTGATGCATAGCAAGTAATTGCAAAGAGCATGGCCTGGATCAAGCACACTTTAATTCTATTAGACACTGTTTTAAATGCCTCTAGACTGTATTACCAAAACTAATGAATATGAGTATTATTCTTTCCAGATGTTGTTGTTAGGTGCCATCAAGTCGACCCTATAAACAACAGTCCTGAACCTTGTCCTATCCTGCACTGTCATCATTTTTTACATACTAGAGCCCATTGTAGGACGGGTTGAGAGTCTTCCTCTCCTTCACTGACCATCTATCTTTCCAAGCATGGTGTCTTTGTCCAAGGAATAGCCATTCCTATCAACAAAGGTGCAGGCAGAGTGCTCCGTGGAGGCAAAGATAATGAAGCTTCATCTCACATACTTTGGGCATGTTGCTAGGAGAAGTTATTCCTTGGAGATGGACATCATGCTTGGAAAGGTGGAGGGGCAGCGAAAGAGAAGACCCTCAACTAAGTGGATTAACACAACGATGCAATGGGCTTGAGCATGTCTGAGATTGGGACATGGCACGGGTTATGAGTGGATGGTACAGGATAGCACAGGGTTCCTATCTTTGGTTCACAGGGCCTGAGTCGTACTCAACGCGATGGCATCTAATAACATGGCCAAAAAGGATGAAGGAAACACCTCCATCCAAGAAATACCAACTAAAAATGTGCAAAGCATAGAGTGGGCTTTCTCTCAGGACTCACTTGATAGTCATTATTTTGAAGGTGTTGCAGGTGGTGGTGGTCCTCTTTCTGCGGCGTCAAGGAATTCCTCAGACTATGAAGACCCCAGGAAATCCCACAACTGTGGATGTCAAGGGTCAGAATGGACCTCCACCCTTGACAATGAATTGCTCAGAATAGTGGGCATCTGTATACACAGGGCGGGCAAGCGTCGGTCATGCGTCTAAAGCCCGACATAGAGCTTCGGCAATTGGTTCCCAGGCCGTGTGACCCCCAGACGGGAGCCCGAAGCCGCCTAGTAGCGCGAAGCCACCGGAGTCCGCGTGCACACGCACGCGCGCCCGGCCGCGAGCCCGAGGCTCTCAGCAGCCAATGGGGCTGGGCGCCGCGCGCTGGGGGCGGGGCCATGACGCGCGCGCCTCGTGATCCCTCTCCGGCCTGCGCGCGCGGAAGCCGGAAGCCTCGGAGGTCGGTGGCGCTACCTGCGAGCGGAGACGTGGTGGTGAGCGTCCCGGGGTGTGAACCCGGTGATGGACCCAGATGGAAAAGTCGAGCTGCGGCGATCGGTGCTGCTGCCCTGGCTGCTTTTCCTGTGGTCCGGGCTGGCCCAGGGCGAGCTCCCCTTCGGCAGCCACCCGCACAGGGTCCTCCGCGACCTCCTGTCGGAGCAGCAGTTGCTGGAGGTGGAGGACTTATCTCTGTCCCTGCTGCAGGGTGGAGGACTGGGGCCGCTCTCGCTGCCCCCGGACCTGCCAGATCTGGACCCTGAGTGCCGGGAGCTGCTGCTAGACTTCGCCAACAGCAGCGCAGAACTGACCGGGTGTATAGTACGCAGCGCCCGGCCGGTGCGCCTCTGTCAGACCTGCTATTCTCTCTTCCAACAGGTCGCTAACAAGATGGACAACATCAGCCGAGCTGTGGGGGTGGGTAGAGCACACTGGGGACTTCTGGCGTGGAGGGTGGGGACTGGAGGTTGTTATTAGTGGTAAACCTCAGTTTCCCCCACCTGTAAGAGGAAAAGACTTGGACTGAATTTGTGGTTTAGGGCATCAGAAAGGTGGATGGTATTGTGACAGTGGGGCTTTAGAATTTTGTCCCATCTCTTTTCTTGAGCATCTTCTTGGTACATATTTGCGATGAGCATGAGTGGCTTTCTTGGAACTCTTGATCCTCTTTCTCTTTCTCTTCTACAATTTTCCCCAGAGCTTCCTTGCCTTTCTCCACGTGAGCTTAACAGAAGAAACTCCTGAAACCCCAAGTGAAATGGAGAAATGGTTTGTGTAGTTAGGGACTTGAGTTTTATAGCTAGCAATTTCCAGATCTGCCACTTTGTAACATCTTGATCTCTCAGTGCCTTACTTTCCTCCTCCTTGCAATGAAAGTAGTTCACCTTGGTGACTAAGACCAGGCTGGAGCCACTTTCGATGGGTCATTTTCTACTCCACTTAAACTTGGGGCTGTGCATATTCCCTTGAGGGAGCTGTCAACCCAAAGGCTAGCAGTTCTGACCCACCAGGTATTTACTCTCTGCAGGAAAAAGATGGGCAATCTCATCCCATGTCATTTGGACTCTGAACACTCGTTGGAGGGTCAGCTGTGAGTTGGTTCCAGCTTGATAGCATATAACAACAACATATTCTCTGTACCTGTTTTCATATTTGTGAAACAGGAATAAAAGGAACTATTAGAAAGTTAGCACATAACTCTCAGTAAATGGAAGCACACATTTCTAGGATATGGTAAACATCCTCCTATTACTAATCTTGGTACCTGAAGAGCTTTTCTGGTCAGTGATAGATGCTATGAAGAATTTTTTTAAAAGCACACAGTCCCTAAGGATATTATAGGATCTAGAATAGGAAAGGATTAGTGTCAAAACTGATGAGAGTCACAAGATGTGGGCTGGGTACATCTGGTAAAGGAAAAACTGTATCATTAAGAACAGTATCATAAAGTAGTAGTAAAATGTGGTTGGAATGATTTAATAAATCATAGTAGACTTACTATCCCACCTCCCAATTGCTGTGGAATTGCTTCCAGCTCATGGTGTCTTCACGTATGTCATAGTAGATCTGTGCTCTATAGAGTTTTCAATGACTGATTTTAAAAAGTAGGTCACCAGGCCTTCAACCTCTTGGTTAATATCTGAGTGCATTTGTTCCAGTCAAGGACTCCCTAGTAGACATATATAAAATACAAACTTGTACTTATTCTTTACTACGCTATATCAGTCTAATATTAATGTCAGTCAAATTTATAAAAACATGTTGAATTTTGTTACAGTAAGTAAGTTCTTTAAGGTCAGTGTTTCTGTTATATTAAGCTCTTTGGTTAGTATTTCTGTAAAGAGGTAGTGTTTAAGATAATTGTTACATGCAATAATTTTTCTTTTTTCTTTTTATTAATTTTAATAGACATTTACAGAGGATTTGGATTTCCATTCATTCATTGCTGCACTTTTCTCCCTGTCCACCCCTTACATGCATTAATTTTTAAGAATACTTTTATTTGTTATACCCAAACCAAACCTGCTGTTGTGGACTTGTATCTAATTCATGGTGACCATTCACTGGGCTGTAAATATTTACAGGAGACTACCTGTCTATCTTCTGCAGATCTCCTGGTGGGCTTGAACCATGACAGTTTGTGTTAGCGCAACATGCAATGCACTATGCCTCCAGAACACTTTATTGGTTATAGTAAGGGCTATGTGTGTGTGTATCTTATATATTTAGGTACATGCTTCAATTCTGCTTGTTGCCATTGAGTTCCAGCCAACTCATATCTGACCCTCTAGCAAGTTTCCGAGGCTGCATATCCCCCAGGTGGAGATTGACCCTTTTTCTCCAATGGAACCTTTGAGATAGCCACACAACTCCCTATAAACTATGCTACCAGATAGGTGTGTGTGGTGTGTGTCTCTCTGTCTATCTGTATTTGTATGTTTGTGTACGTGTGTGTGTGTGTGTGTGTGTGTGTGTGTGTGTGTATTTATTTATTTATTTTTAAGAAGGCCTGGTAGCTTAATGGGGTAAGGAGTTGCATTGCCAACCCATAGCATGTGATTCAAGTCCACTAGCTGCTCTATAGGAGAAAGACGGACAGTGTCCTCCCATGCAGTTTCTAGCCCTCTTAAAACCTGCTGGAGTTATGAGTTGGTTCCAACTTGAAGATACATAACAACAAACTAGATATGTAAATTCCTTTTTGATACCATTTATTTTTACATAAAAGCTTGTGGAATTTAGAACAAGTTTTTTAAAACATTATCCTAGTGGTTCACAGGAATTCTAGTGGCACTGTAGGGTGAACTGAGGGGTTAAGAACTGTCAACTTCTCTGAAGGAGATAATAAGGCAATCTTCTCCTGTAAAGATTTACAACCTTGGAAACTTGAAGGGGCAGCTCTACTCTGTCCTGTATATGACTTCTACGACTTAGAGTCTGCTCAGTTGCACTTGGTTTTTTGGCTTTTAGCACAGCATCTAATCTGCATATGCCATTGGCACTGGAGTTACTTATTAGGAGGTCTCTCCACTCAGAAGTTGCAGAAACTATTGTCTCTTGCTGTTGTTCTTCTTGTTCCTAGGCACCCAGATCACTTCACCCTAAAGTGAAAAGAAGTGTAGAGATTAAAAAAGAGTTTAGAAAACGGTTTTTCCAATCTGTGTTTCCTTCCTTTATTCATCCTAGACCCCAGTCTCTGTTCCTATGCATCATACTTGACAGCACCTAAACAACGGTTCTTGAATATTGAGCTGGTTAAAGGTTATAGACAAAAAGGGAGGATACAGTCCAGGCCTCAATGTATTAATGTAGCTGGAGAGATAAAAGAAATACATATGAGGGTGAAAATGAAAGGATCATTGGTATGAGTGTTATAACTTGTTCAGTGTAAAGTAGAAGAGTGGAGGAGATGCTGAGTTAACAGAGCAGGGGGTTAATCTGAGAAAACCTATAAGCTGAATTTTTAAACAAGTCATCCTTTTCCACCTTTTGGGTAAATGCACATGGATTGATTAGAAGAAAAGGGGAACGTGATGAAGAGAACAGGATTCAAAGATAGAAATTAACAAGCTGTGTACGAAGTACAGTGTGCAAATGAATTTAACCATAGTAGTATTATCTGATAATAATTCTGTGTTTTAGTAAATTCACCTTGAGATTCTTGGCTCAAAAATTGCATATAGTTTTATTATATCATGATAAAATTCAGTAATAGGAATGACTCAATCCCTCTTTAAGTCATATTCTTTTTCAGGTTAAACCAAAATGATGTGGTTTCATTGAGCTATTTATATTTAGCTCATTAATATAGTTGTGAAATAGTTGTTAAAAAGCTTTAGCCCCTCAATTCTTAATTATAAACTTTTACCTTATTCTGCTTGGCTTGTTTAAAATTCTCTGAGAGTGAGTGTGCATGTGTACGCACCGCACCTGCCTCATTTATATTCCCAGTGGTGCTACTGATTTTCAGTATGTATCTGATGAATGTTAAACATGCTTTGACTAATAGTTCATAGGGAAATAAGAGAGAAAATTGGAACATAGCATAATATGTATTATCTTTCATTAGTATCAGGTAATGTAGTGTTTCTTATGTGTTTATCTAAGAAATGGCTGAGTACCTGTTATATGCTGAAGGAGTTCTGTTTGATAACTATGTAACGTACAGGACTGTGAACCAAAAAGGTCAGCTGTTCAGATCTACCATCTACTTCACAATCACCTGCTGTTAAGTTTTACAGCCTTATAGGATATGTAAACTCAAAAATAAATAAAAGAAAAAATAAGTTTACAGTCTCAGAAAACTGCAGAGAGGGTCACTGAATCAATACTGACTCAAAGGCAGTGGATGTTACTTGCAGCCTAGAGGATGCCTTGGTGGCCCATGCATTCAGTGTTGGGCTGCGAACTGAAAGGGCACTTGTTTGACTTCACCAGTCACTCTGAAGGAGAAAAATAAGGCAGTCTATTTCTTAAAAGATTTAAACTCTTGAAAACACATAAGGGGAAGTTTTACTGTCCTGATGGTCACTATGAATCAGTATCAACTCGATAGCAATGGGTGGAGTGGTGTATATTAGGGATATAGCAATGAATGAACAGACCTTATAGTTTGGTAGGGAAAATAGTAAACATATCGTACAAATAACTGTTAAGTATGATATGTGTTGAAAAGGAAAAAGTCTGAGATGTTGCCAATGCATTTAACAGGAGCACTGTTCTTGTTTAGTCCTGGGAATAGGTAGAATGATCAGGAATTAGAGCTGATATGTGGCCTGTGAATTGTGGTTTTGGAGATGAATACTGAATATCTCATAAATAGCCAAAAGAACAAACAAATCTCTTTTGGATGAGGTGCAATCAGGACGCTCCTTAGATTCAAGGATCTTTAACATTTGTCTCACATATTTTAAGGAGAGGCCAGTCTTTGGAAAAGATTATCTTGCTGGGAAAAGTGGAGGATTAGAGAAAGAGAGGAAGACTTTCAACAATATGTATTCACACATGACTGTAACAATGGACTTGAGCATATCCGAGATCATGAGGATGGCACAGGATAGGACATGGTTCTGTGAGTCATAGATGACTCCGTGGTATATAACAGTAACCATCTAAGAGCTGAGATACTACCCTTAGATATGAAGAATCCTGTCTGATCCTCAAGACCTTTCACAGTCTTGTCCTGTATTCTAATGCACTGTGGCTGAGTTGATACTGACTCATAGTGACCCTTCATTAAGTTCCTGAGGATCTAAATCTTTTTTTTTTTTTTTGTTCTAAGTGTTTTTATTTTTAAACAAATGCTGTAGCAAGCAAGAGCTTACTTTCCCCACTCCACGCTAAACTGGCCCGACAGAGGCAGAGGGTCCTTATTGCTAGGCGGGACAACTCCAAAGTGGTGTGACCTCCTGCCTGCT